TTAATTAAAATCATTTTTAATATCCGACTTTGGCTTGAGATCAAAGAATTAAAAAAAGGAAACTCTTGAAACAAGGAAATCAGCAGATTTCACTTTAATACATTCAGTTTCTTTGCGGCGTCGCACGGAAACACTCCTAAAAAGGAGTCAGTATAAATGAAGATAGATAGAGAGGAAAATGGTTGATGGGGGTAGTGAGAGAGTGTATATTTTTCTAAACGATGATGGAAGAAGTGCAGCAGAAAGGCACCGAGAAAAGGTTCACGTGATTGTACGAACGTTAGATGCTAAAATCAATCGACACGGACTCGTTCTTGTACAGTCTCTAAAAAGTCTCGCACTCGCCCTATTTATATATATATATATATATATATATATATATATATATATATATATATATATATATATATATATATATATATATATATATATATATATATATATATATATATATATATATATATATATATATATATATATATATCTCCGCATACGTTATCCTCGGCTTTTTCTGAATTTTAGATTTCAACTAGACACTGTTTGATTGTTACATTTGGCAATTCGGCAGCACTCACAAGTTTTCAAGCTCCTTGTCTTACAACGCGACTACGGGGCGACATGCTGTACGCCATACACCGCTGAGAATTTTGCATTAAGCATCTCGTTAATTTTAAAAATGCTCGTGAGAAATATATACTTCACTTATGCGATATTGCGCGGATTGACAGCTACGACAGAAATACGTGACGCGTAGTTATTTGTATTAAATGCAGGACTTTCTCGAAGGAATTTTAAATAGATTTTTTTTTTCTATATTCGTTTTTATATTATTTGTTAGAAAGAAAAATGACAGGTAGGTGTCTCGATAGAAGAAATGAATTGGAACAAATTCATCAGCGTGTTGACGTATAGCAAAACGCACACCTCGCGATAGTAATAATTCTGTTTTATTCTCCTACAGCCGCGTTCTAGAACTTCGCCTCTCGTGACGACTACTTTCTCATAACGTCATCATAATTCTCAAGCGAAATGTCGGGCTTTTATATACGTATATATAACAATAATTCAATAAGGCATACGATATCCAATTAGGGACTTCCCCTTATTTATCACGAAACTTTTACGTGTATTCCTTGAAGTTTTTGGACATTTCTCGCTCTTTCTCTTTTCCTTTTTATCTCCGAGAAACTTTCTTGTAATCTCTTAGGTCCGCAAAAGTTGACACTTTTTTTTTGCCTAATGTGGCCACGAGTGTAATGGATAGCCGCATATAAATTACTAGAGGGAATTACATGGATCTGTAGTCCGAGTATTATACATTCTCTCCATATTTCGTGCCTTGTTTTGCGGCTTGTTAAATTCGTACCTCTCCGGGGCGAAGTTTGGAACGCAGCCAACGTAATATAAAGTCTCTTCTTCACGTAGACGACGCGACGTCAGAGTCTCGCCTTCTCTCGCGTTCTTTGTCGATCGGCGAGGACGAGTCGCTGTCGTATACGCTCAACGTAACGCGACGTGTATGTATGTACACTTATCTAAAAGTAACGGTCGTAGCACTGCGTGCGTGGCCTATTACATAATATTTCTTCTCTTTTTCTTTTTTTTTTTTTACTCCCGATATAATATTATAACTTTTCGGCTCGTCTTATTTGTCTACTATACAAACTCTTGGCTAGAACAACGGTAGGTAATCCTCGTGCGCTCATTTTTCTTTTATGTAAATGTGTTTTACTGTATTTATTTTCTGTTTTTTTATATTCGTTTATCATCGTGTGCCTGGAGGGGCTGACCGGCAGTGATGTTAGCCTCGGCGGAAAAGTCTCCAGATGTAGACACAGAGGCATATATGGCTCGCCTGGTTCAACTACGTTTTTACCTTTTTATCGAAAATAGACACAAGTTGCTCTTGTCAACGATAAATATCTCGTCTACTATACATCTTTTTTTATCTTTTTGCTCTTTACACCGACGCGCGCTCTAATATTTTAATACATTTGACTTTCTACACCCAGCGAGCTTCTCGTCAGCTAATATCACTGAATTAACGGAGATAAAAGAACTGAAGCAACCTCACTTAATCTTGCTCTTATTGCTTTTCAAGTACTTCACTTTTTCTTTTCAAATCAGATACAGGCCTGATTGTAAAGATTTTTGTTTCCATGGAATATCCAATCGATCGATATTCCAGTCCAGAGGCAAATTTATCGAACAACTTTGCCGAAAAGACCGATAAAACAGATTACCTCGCGAAAAATACGGCAATCAGGGAACTTGGGCAACTTCGATTCGCTGAGACCGTTTACGGCAATCGCTCTGTTTTCCGGTTCCCCTCCATCGAGCACGGTATTTATTTATCGCACGCACAAAAGGGTTATAGACACGTACACGTACACCCAAAACTTTACAGAGCTTACAAGATTACACACAAATAGAAATACGTTTTATTTCCTCGCGTTAGGGAAACCGTCAGATCGACGGCGAATCGGCCCTGATGGAAAAATCGTGACAGGAAAAACCGGTTCGACGATTATCCGAACAAAAGTGCTGTTTCCCTCGTTTCTCTCTCTCTCTCTCTCTCTCTCTCTCTCTCTCTCTCTCTCTCTCACTCAGATTTCTTTCTCTCTCTCTCTTTCTCTCTCTCTTTCTCTTTCTTTCTATTTCATTCTTCCATCCGCTCGTCTCGCTGAAAATCACATGTTACACCGACATCATACAATCGAGTATTGCGAGCGTATTATTGTTTTCACGAGAAGTATCTGTTCAACGAACTTGATTATCGTCGCGCTTGTATATAAAAATAATTCCCTATTACCTCCGTGACATTGTCAATCGGCCTTCCTTCGACAGTCTCCTGAGTTGCGAGTTACGCGGTTCACCCTGATCGATTGGAACGAGTCTTTTCGCTCGTTTCTCGGATAGTCCTTTTGTGCGATATTAGATCACCGTTGCATGCGTCCCTTATCCCAAGTTTCGCTGCTCAAGATCTCGCGATCTCGAGCGGCATCACGAATTGCCAATTAGGACGCGACGAATGTCTTAAGCGAGGAAGTGCATTTGCTTTGCTTTCGTTGTTGAATGGATCACGGATGTCGATGTGCGCCTGGTCGTGTTACGGAGGATGCTCGTATGAAGAGATTCAAGGATATGGCTGAGTGACGGGAAATAATGAAGTCGCCCCAATCTTCTTCGACTACATAAGAGATTATGGAGCACGGCTTACGGATGCCAGATAAATTGCGCGCATTTCCTCTGATGCGTCGGGATGCTGGTGGGTTATATTCACAGTACAGTTACGTGAACTTTCAGATAAATCCGACTGCGCGCGTACGCATTGTTCGCCAACTCAAATATATTCTCAAGTATAACGGGGTTGAGGCAGATGACTGAAATATGTCGGTAGATGAAATTTCAGATATAATTAGACTAATTGTAAGTCGCCGTCGGCCTCGCCTCGCGTTTCATCCTTTTAAACGGGCGAGTAATTCGACCCGGGTTTCGTGCTTGCTATGGAGTGTACCATACAATCCACGTAAAATGCCTTCGATTTGGACTACCTTAAGATGGGTTTGCTCTGGTTCCGGGACAGAAGTCACCGCCGTAATATCGAAAATCTCCGATATTTCCTCGCGCTCTCGGAAAATGCTTTCCGTCGTTCTTTTTCTATATTTT